AAGTTCGCGAAGCGTACTGTTGTTCGGCGGTAGGTAGTCAGGTATACAAAAACATTGAGTTCGTTTTGCGTGTGAGTTCGGCAAAGCTATTACCGGGAATGCAGTAGCAAGTTAAATAGTGATGTAAGAAGAATGAAGCTGTGACCCTGAATTTGCCGGATAGAGCCAGTTAAGCTGAATCGAATGAATGCAGGCGAAGCAGTGCATACCTTAATGGCGACATGATCGCGAGGGAGAATGCAAAGCGTTAAATCTGTGACTTCAAGTCAGACTGGTAGAAAACGATGAACATTGTGTTTCCCCGTTTCACCCATTACGGTCCCAGTAATCGAATTAAAGTCCACTTCAATTTGTAATCGCGGCCCACATTGAGAGTGCGAGTCGCAATCCACTCACACGGTTGTCTCTAAAAACCCACCAATCAGATTTGAATGAACCTCCGTTTTAGTAGTCACCTCGATTCCTAATTCCAAACGATTCTAAATAACGCAATGTGACCTTCTCTTCATACGAATGAGCCACTAACTGTTTGGAATGTGACTTCTCCGCTGGCAGTGAGCGACCGAATCACATACAGACCGTCAAATGTTAAATATCAGTATCGATATCCAAAACTGTGCTAGCGTTTGCACACCGCCGAAACGTCTTGTGTGTTTAGGTTATCTTCTTACGCATCCACACAAGTTTTCAGTACTCCATGTGGCACGAATTCTGTTGCACCGGCTTTATGGATGTGGCCAAGTAACTGCACGTGAACTGTCTCTGCGACAAGTTGGTCATACCACAAAGGGTTTGCAAACAGCTGATGAGATCTTGCAAAATAGGTGAATTCAGCTGTGTGATAAGTTATTGCCTTTGTGAAATTTGTGACTTAAATTCTTGCAGGAAAATTGCCGATTTCATTTGACCTGCTATGGGCTACTGAGAAATTGCTACACCAAGACCTTCAGCCCATAAAAATTCATTATACTTGCAACAAATTATCTAGAGATACTATGGATTTCAATACGTTTTTCTTTGTTTTAATGACCTGCCAGAAACGCTGTTACATCTACAAACTCCGGTACTCCATGCTAAAATATCTGTCAAACATAATTCTTTACTCAACGTAACAATCAGTATGGTGCGAAATCGTTTGCTTTTGGGCAATCAATGTTTTGTAGTCATTTCATGCATTTTCTAATCGTGATGTGCTTCAAACAGTTATTTTCGTCAAGGGAAGAAAGCGGAAATGCACGACAGTAGGCAGAGCAGCATGGCCGTCCCCAATGCCAGGTAAATCAGATGCATGTGGCACAAAGTAACCATCGCATATAAATACACAGAAACGCATAAATCATAAAGTACCATATAAACACTTTCAGTGAGTTTCGCAAGGTGAGACAGAGATTTCTTCTGCTGTGCATAAGTGAAGGTCCGATAATAACAGTCACAGAAACAAATAACTTTCTGAAGATGCAATATGCTCCTCAACTGCAGCGGCATTTTCCATCATGTGATCTTCCTTTGTTGCTCGACGCAAGAGTTCTACTATATATGTTTAACTGCTGAAGCTGATACTTCTGAGATGTATAGTACTTGAACAAAGGTGTTTGGAGTAGCAGTAAAGAATTGACGGAAAATTTGGTCCAGTTCTTACAACGATGTTTAGAGCAGAACCAAGGTGTTGGTATACTACTCTGTCAGTGGGCACGGTATGAGCGAGATATCCTTTTGATTAGAAAGCATTCAGTCGGGTGTAAACAGTAACTCAAAGATGCTGAACCCTGATGTGGGTCCACGGAAGAAAAGTGGATACAAAGCTCACAAGTAATAGGTACATCACTTAAACTAAGGCGTTTTTGTAGACGATGCGGAGGTAATAATGGTCACGATCACAATGGGGAAAATAGGTCGAAGCAAGAAGTTCAGAGAAAGTGAGATGCAGTTTCTCTAATATCCCTGCTCAGAACGTCCCAAGGATGTTGAGAAAAGTGCTTGAGTGTACGAAGATGCAGGGTATCAGAAAATGCGTCATCAACAGGTATTTAACTAAAGCGTTTAAAGGTGAAAGTGCTGTTTAACTCAAACGATGTGATAAAGGTAGTTCGTAATCCAAGCCCAGCCACAACACAAGCGGGGAGAAAAAGGTCAGCTGGGACGATAAGGACCCAATAGTGCTTAACATATCTATCTACCTGGATTATACTACAGTGAGCAGCATATCAAAGCCCATGGGACACATTTGGAGACAATTACGACAGCTAAGGAAATAGTTGCGATGTAAGGTTGTTAACTACTGCGTACTATTGCACATACGATCAAATGCATCAAAATTGTTCCAGTTCCCAAATAATCCTGAGGTCTTGAGTTTAACTGTACGCCAAACTTCGCAGTTGGTATGCAAACGTCTCATCACCACACGTGGTGACTTCCTCAGTGTACTGCTGGGTCAAACGTAATCCGCTGACTTGGTCGTCGATTTGTGATTGAATAGCAAAGGAGTCTTAAATTGATCTTCTCGATTTGTGCCCCGTGACCATCCGGCTGTCCAACTTCTTTTATAGACACGGGCGATCCATGAGATAGTTTTGCCCTGGATGTTGCGGCTGTATTGTTGACTGCTCGGTTAGCTGCTCACGACGGTTTTTAGGTTGTTTTAATTCTCTCCGCCTTAGCATTTCGTAAACTGGGTCAATCTCGACGTGCATGTTTATCGAGTGCTTCGTCGAGTACCATGCCTCGAGGAACTCTTCCATTTCGTGTCTCTTCTTGTGCTAGGACCTCTGCGTCGTTCCAATCGAAGCGATGTCCTTCTTCGTCCGTAGGTATTGAAACCAGTGAGAGAGCTTAGTGATTCTTGCAACCTCTCTTATGTTCTTGTATCCTTGTAGACAGTTGTCTTCCTGTCTGACTCACATAGTTCTTACCGCAGTCTTGACACAGTATCTTGTAAACAACATTTCGTCTTTCGTGTGAATCACATCTAGCTTTGGGTTTTGACAGGGTTCTGCTCAATGTGGCGGTTGGTTTGTGAGCCACTGTGACACCGTGCTGTTTGAATAATCTTGTCATCTCGGAGATATTCTTTATATAAGGTAGAACGACTTTCTTTGTTGTCGTTTGAGCAGGCTGAGGTTGTAGTTTTGTTGTTTAGACATCGCTCGACAAAGCTATGTGGAGATGTATTTAGGTGAAATGATCTGAACAGGTATATCTCGTCTATCCGCTTCGCATCAAGACTGCTGCAATGTGTTTCAATTCTACGAAAGCTTATTTCGCGACATTTCGGGTGATTGCCGTAGCAGTTTAGAATCTGATCGGCGTGTTCATTTCCTGTAAACCGATGTTTGCAACTCTCCGTCAATCGTCCCGGTGACTAGCATAGCCAAAAATGGGAGCTGGTCTTTTATCTTCGATGCCATCGTAAAATGAATGTCCTCGATGTCATGATTGAACAACTCGCATGCGGTCTGAAGCTCACGAAAGACGAAATGTTGTTTACAAGATACTGTGTCAAGACTGCGGTAAGAACTATGTGAGTCAGACAGGAAGACAACTGTCTACAAGGATACAAGAACATAAGAGAGGTTGCAAGAATCACTAAGCTCTCTCACTGGTTTCAATACCTACGGACGAAGAAGGACATCGCTTCGATTGGAACGACGCAGAGGTCCTAGCACAAGAAGAGACACGAAATGGAAGAGTTCCTCGAGGCATGGTACTCGACGAAGCACTCGATAAACATGCACGTCGAGATTGACCCAGTTTACGAAATGCTAAGGCGGAGAGAATTAAAACAACCTAAAAACCGTCATGAGCAGCTAACCGAGCAGTCAACAATACAGCCGCAACATCCAGGGCAAAACTATCTCATGGATCGCCCGTGTCTATAAGAGAAGTTGGACAGCCGGATGGTCACGGGGCACAAATCGAGAAGGTCAATTTAAGACTCCTTTGCTATTCAATCACAAATCGACGTCCAAGTCAGCGGATTACGTTTGACCCAGCAGTACACTGAGGAAGTCACCACGTGTGGTGATGAAACGTTTGCATACCAACTGCGAAGTTTGGTGAAAAGTTGAACCCAGGAAGGATCAACCCGGGCTACCAGCGCATCAAGTCATTTTAACTATGAGGTCACCGAACATATCAGATTATGGAAAGATCATTGTCGTGGATATACGGGATGTAGTAAGGTTGCAAAGCAAGAGAGCGTGACTACGGAGCGGTGTATAAAATCGTGATGAAGTCGAAGTGTGATGAACTCAAGTTCGTACAGCCAAAATTTGGTACCACAGTTCTGATGTAAGCGTTACACAGCAAGAAGAATGTGGAGTTAATGACACAGTGAATGTCGATTCGACCCGCGTAACAGCCGCTTATATAGTAGTGATAGCTATAGTAATCGGCTTGTACTGCGTTAGTTTACACCATCATGCTCACAAGACGAGAAAATGTAAAGAAAGGTTAATATTGCCTTCGAAAGGGGTTAGCAAATGATTCGTGTGTTTATAAACATTTCAAGTTTAGAAAATATGCATACGCATATAGAAACTAGGAGGAACCGAAGGATCAAGCAAATTGAGCAAATAAGTAAGCAGGAACAAGGCGAAAAGCGGTCAGCAGAGCGACAAGGTGGGCTCATGAGCAAGACATTTGTGGCTGATTAAAGTTACAGCATACAGAAAAACTAGTCGCCATTCGAGACAGGCCAGCAAGGAGAACTGCGACAACCAAAGTGTGCTGTGAGCTTCACAGCTCACTTTGTACTCTACATTTATGTCCATATTTCGAAAAAAGCAGCAAAGAAGAGAGCACCACAGACAGTAGTGAAGAAAGAAGCCGATGAGATTCAATACATGTGAACCATTAGAGTGGCTCTAGAATTCGACATTCATTCAGTTTCACGCGAATGGAAGTCGTAGAACACTATGTGCAAGACAGATTCTCCAATTTGAGGAATCAAAAATAGTGTGTCAAGCCGTACACAACGCAACGTTGACGATAATAGCCAACAGTGATAGACATCATGCACGAGAGCAGTAAGACTTGGCAGGATTTAGGAGAGGAGTGTTAAACGTCTTCTGAAGGAATGCGATAGGCGGCATGATGTCTAATTTAGGGAGACAGATCTGAAAAGCCAATCAAAGTTAATATCGAGCTTCAGCGTTATCATCTGTGCAATGGATCGAGGAAGAACCACAGCTAAAGAAATACAAAATTGATTAGCAAACAGTTGTACTATACGTACACATGTGGCAATATAAATGAAGAGAGAAGAAAACATACAAGGTAAGGAAAACTGCTGTACATAATGAAAAAGCGGAGCAAAGGAGAGAAGTCAACTGGAGCGGATGCTGCACCAAAAGACCGTAAATATTCATGTCATGTACACAGTCGATTCATGGTTAGAAAGTAGAGCTCAAAATGATCAAAATGGCATTGCAATGTACACGGTAAGGGGAATTAGGAAGTTAGAAATACGTGAAGAGGCATGCATTAGCAAAAAGGGAAAATATGCAAAAAAAAGTCTATGAGACCGAGCTAGGTAAATAAATGAATAGGTTCCGAGAGCGAAAACGATTTATTGCATTCACAGTTGAGTTGGGCGTATAGCATACAGGAAAAGACCTCTTTTTATCCGGGAAACAGCAATATATACAAGCTTGGGACAAGAGAATAGAGATGGAGGTCTATATACATATGCACCGCAGACTTCACATTCGAGAAGCTCGCAAACATATGACTGACAGCACAGCTACAGTGAAACACATGAAGTCTAGGCAGAAAACGTAAAAACTAACTGAAACCGGAATAAACGTAAAGGGTCAAATGAGGGCAAACTAAAAAGAGATTTATATAGATACAGGCTGGAAGACAGAAGCGACCTGGGGGTGAAAAAGCAAGGGTGAATTAAAATACAAAGACGTCAGGGAGCCAGAAAAGAGGTTTGTGGCACATATTTACAACGGAAGGCAAACGGAACGGACTCGGGCATTCCGACTAGGAAGATGACTGCTGTTGCTGCAGAAGAGAGTGATGTTGCTGCTGTTGGTAGGCTGCCATAAGACCTACTTGGTGCTGTGCATGCTGCTGCTGTTGATATTGTTGCTGCTGATGATGCAGGGCCATGGCAGCTACCGCAGATCCAGTGGTAGCCGCAGTCGGGTGGGCCCCATTACCGTGAGCCGCGGCGAACACGAGGCTAGGATGGTGTTGCTGATAGAGCGCAGCGGCCAGTTGATAACAGTTGCTCATGGTGGCCGTGGAGTCCGGTTGTGCCATAACCACTTGAGGAACGGAACTCTGGAGCAAGGAATCATCGGGAGAGGAAGTAACGAGAACCGACCCATTGAGAACGTTCCCGCCGACGGAGTTGGAGCCCACAAAGAGGTTGGAGACAGTTGGTGTAGTTAAGGTGGACGTAGAGACAGCATGTGTTGCCGCTGCGACGGCTGCGAGACGCTGTTGATGATGCTGTTGCAACAGCAGCTGTTGCTGCTGTGCGACTGCGGCCTGAGTGACGTCTGGATAGCTTGAGACAACCTGCAGGCCGGTAGCTGCGGCAAAAGCTGACGCGGACAAAGTCCCTCCAGGTGCTGTCTGCATCACACTCGATGCACCGGTTTGTTGTTGTGCAGCTACGGCTGCCGCAGCTTGGGCCTGAGCAGCAGCTGCTAGAGCAAAACTTGCTGGATCTGTTGAAGAGGCTAATAGAAGTCCAGCAGTTACGCCATCTTGTGGGTGGCAGAAGAACCCAGCCGGGGTTGCACTAGAAGCGGCGGAAGAAAACAGGAGACTCTGAGCCGCGTGATGACGAGCTGCCAAAGCGGCTGCAGCTTGTTGTTGTTGAAGCTGCTGAGTCGCTTGTTGGTGTAGATGAAATTGATGCGCGACAACAGAGTGGCTGGATCCGATTTGAAGATTGGCAGAGGCCGCCAAAGCGTGCCCAGGCTGCTGACCTGAGACGGCCACCAACCGTGTGTTTGCAGCGGCCGCAACAGCCGCGTAACTAGCCTGGTGTTGTTGTAGTAACTGGTGATGGTGGGCCATGGCAGCTTGCTGCTGCAGTTGGTGTAATTGCTGTTGTGTACTAGCAGGATGGAAACCGACCATTTGGGGGAAGACAGCATGACTAGCCTGGAAAAAAGAAACAAATGGTCAGAGGGAAAGTTGCCATTTTAACCTGGGAGATAATGAAACATGATCCCACATAGCTACACACAATGCGAGGGAAACTTAAGAGGAAAACAATGCGGGAAAATAGTCGAGATAAAACTAGCGCTTTTGAAAGGAAAATGTGGAGAAAGAATGAAAATGGCAATTGGATTACAATCATACATGTAGAAGATGAAAAGGATCGCTTGAATCGAGTCCCAATGATTTGCGGTGAGTGCAGGAAAAAAGGATGGATGTATCCGAAAGCAAATTCACAGATGAGAGCATAGGCACAGTGGTAAAAACTAACGATGTAATGAATTTCAGCAGAAGCATAATGAGTGACACACTGAGGACGGATATGCTGCGAGGGAAGCGTCATATACTGGTGCAGTGAAGCCGAACAGTAGATATCACATTTCGGTTTGTTATGTATAGTCCGGTATGAATTGCGGTGGATCTAGCTGCCTAGACATTCAGCTTCATTCACTCGCGCCGCCAACATTGAAGACACCAACAATAATTCAAGCATTGAAGCTACCACATGCAATAGCTAACATTTAGAAATATGTGGACGTAGACAATGATGACAATGATTTCATGACTACGCTCACATACGACAAAGCATCCGAAAGCTGATGCGGTCAACCCTTAGAAGGAAGATAAAGACCAACCCAGCCTAGTTTTAAGACGAGTTGATTTACGTTCCCAAGCGAATCCTGTGTTTGACCACCACAGTGTTTCGCATACCTAGAAAAAGGTAAATAATACCGTTGGAGGCGATCGGCTTGCAAGAACGAGAAGCACAGGAGCAAGCCAGTAAAAATATTTCGGATTCGACAAATACTTCGATGAACAACAACAGTATTCACCCAGTTTTGCAGAAAATTGCGAGAAATACATCGCAGGCGTCTACATTGGACATAGTCATTATAAACACATGGATACAGGCATACAAAATTAATTGCCAGAAAAATTTAAATTCACGTCGTGTGTAAAGAGACACAATGGTTTATGTAAAACTACTTTATTTCGTTTCAACACCCAATCAGGATTTTGGCTGCGAGGTTTTGTCAAGCACAGCTCGCGTAGCTCAATAGACTTGTGATCATGGTGAAAGCTGTCAATCAAAATGTGCCAAGTTCAAATCCCAGATCAAGTTATCCCTGCTTTATGGGTAATTGAGTAGTGTAGTGAGAAGAAACATCAACGCAGAAATCCTCAGTAATCAGGATTTTGATTCTCAAAGAGGAATCCCAGAAAATAAAAGCGCTACTTGGTAGGTCTTTCTTATCGTATCCCTTGTCAGCAATTTCTATTGTTATGTAAAGATGCTCATCACGTATGATTAATAAACTGAACTGCAATTATTTGAAAAGTTTAATCATTCCGTTTAAGCAATTAATATTTGATGAATAGTTTTTGGGAGGGATGTACACAGATGTTCACATTAGGACCTATTAGAGTAAAAATGTAAAGATCTAAGCATGTAGTTAGGTGTATTATATCGTAATTTTTTTTAGATCCTTGATAAGTTTTCGCTGTTATATTCTCATGTACTATTTTATGTAATACTGAACGCATCCGTCACGTTATATTCTACCGTTAGAGTATACATTGTGAAAATTACGCAATCAAAGTGTTACTTAATTATACTGTAGCTAATACAAGAGGACGTGGAACAATGGGTGATTTGTTGCAATATTCGAATGAGTCCGATATAAAAATACCCTATTCCGATGATCTGGGGATGAGGGATTTTATCTTGCCAGTCCTGATATGCTTCGTTGTGAGAATGATAGCAGAAATACAGTCTATGAAGGTGAAGAAAAGGAACAATCCAAAACCTGTGATAGCCAAAATAAAGACACTGATAGGCTAAAGTCAAAGAAAGCTAATATCAAATGTCGATCTATTTGAGATCAGTCTCATCCAGGTAACACAAATTTGCGGGAAGATTTCAGTTTAGGTGATACCTACACTAACCATCAAACCACTTCCTACAATACTTCAGACCAGAAAGTGAAGACAGGTATGCAGAACAGACTAATATATTTCAAGAACAAAAGACCATCTGGTGGGTAATTGCTTTCAATGATTCATTCCCAAATCATTAAAAACACAAATAGGGGTTGAACAATTAAAACCAACCCAGTTTCAGTATCGAAATATAAAAGTGAAATATGCATTGGTGGGTTAATTGAACGCTAAGGAGTTTCACCTAAAGCAACGAACTCAGTGATCTCCGCTTGTACTGCAAGGGAAAATGATAAGCCTGTATGAGCATCCTGTGCAAGCATAAGATCAGTTTAAAGAAAACATGTGCAGACTGCTTCGGCCGTCGTAAGTGCTCAAAGGCGGTAGCCTTTCGATCAATGCGGCGGAAGCATGTACATTATACAAAAGCCAAGTTGTAGATCCATCTAATGCCCAGCGCTGACGCTACTAATGCCCACAGCGCCACCTTGATGCAAACAATGCAGGCAATGTTCGTTTGCGCGTTTGTACTAGTGCCGCGTCGTTCGGTAAATATGTGTCGAGCCAAAAGTGCTTTCGAAATGATAAATTAAAATAGAGATGGCCAACATTTGTTTCCTTGAAAACGCGCACTTTCAGTCCAGCCCAGTAGAACAACTATGCTCTGAACATCGAAGTGTGGTGGATACATTTGCTACAACTCACATCGCAAAAATAAGAATAAATAACAACGGCAAGATAGTGGGATTAAAGGTAAATAGAATAAAAATAAAATGGAAGCAAGAAAGAAGTGAGTTAAACTAATTAAAAAAGAACGAAAAGTGAGGACTAGATGCAGGAAACCAAATGCAGGAACGCCAATGACTGCGTCAAGTCCGGTACAATCTCCAACCATCCCGAGGCCTCCATAAAAAGGCGGCACGCGGCAGCAAGAGCATGCGTAAGTCAACTTTTTCATGTCTCTACGCCACGTCATAGACTGGCCACCTCGCGGTTTCGGCGTACAATGCACACCGAGGAAGCCGGCCAGCGGGCATAAGGAGGATATGATATAGCCAATGAAAACGATTAAGGTGCAGTAAACACTCAAATGAAACACCAGAAGGCTTTTTATCGAAACCAACTGGCAGACCTCAGTATTGCTCAATAGGCGTGAGCAATACTCCGCAAGCACCGGTGGTCAAACACGGCCAAGCGCTTAATGTTTTCGCCGCGAACTGGCTAGGTCTGATCCATACAGTAAGGCCGAATTTGTCCCAGCGTTATACATCCTAACTTTCCCTGACAACCGGATATGCCGTCGTCTTCATGGATGGTTAAGTAGCTGGAGAGCCACGCTGGCCTTGCTGATATGTGAAGTAACTTCCTCAGTAAAATGACCACAAGAGGTGACACAGCCATCAAGGTAAGTGAAGCGACCTAGCACTTCCAAAGGCTGTTCGCTGATAGCTAGAAGCGATGATGTGCCGATCCAGTCCACACTTCGAACTTTGAAGGTGCAAAGTACATGCAGAAATGTGCAGCTCTACGCATAAGTCTGTGTAGTAGTGACTGCATAGTCACTGCGCCAGACGCAAGAAGAGCTATGCCGTCCGCATACTCCACGTTTGTCAGTCGGTCACCTGGCGGAATTTCCACTCCGGCGGAGTCTGAAAGAACGGAGTCACTCATGATCATTTCGGTCACAAAGTCTAAGAGGCGAACCTCACATGTCATGAGGAACTCAGGAGACAGTCTGTTGCAGATGCTTACACGTCTCGGGAATCATGGTAGAGACTACAGAATGGAAGGGAGTTCAGCCGGCACGCCCATCTTGGATACGCAGTGCCACAGGCTGTCTCGATCAACAGAGTCGATGGCGGCTTCCAAGTCAACGAAAACCACCATAGTCGCTCATCTGCATTGGTATCTCTGTTCTGAAACTTGGCGAAGAAGAAATATGTGGTCAATACAACCAGGACCAGTTCGAAAGCCAGCCTAGTTTGCAGTGATTCGGTTCTCACGGGGAACAGAAAGTCGTCGGAGAATGATTCCCGTGAAAAGTTTGGAGATAACGGAAACGAGGCTAATCCATCCATGATTTTCGCCAAAGTACGCACACCTTCTTGAAGATAGGCACTATAATTGATAGTCGCCAGTCTGAAGGCACATATTCAGTTTTCCAAATCATGTAAAATAGAGGAATGAGTCCAGTCAACAAAGAGTCACAATCATCTTGTAGCAGATGGAGTAAGGTAGATGGGTTCTGGTGCCTTGTTTCGTTCTAACACGGAAAGCTCACATCGAGTCTCTTCAAAAATGGGGAGAGTGAAATCAAGTTCCCACGTCGGAGCAGGTGATTCGACAAACGGCAGTATCGCTGCATTCCTGCTTTTCAAAATGTACTGCCAAACGCGCTAGTTGACGAGGCTGAGAATGAATCAACCGTCCACCTTTCTCAGCTACTGTCTCGCTAACTTATGGCATTATCGGACCCGTGTACCGGCTGAGTTGGAATAGCAATCGATTGTTGCCAAAAGCACTGGCTTTCTCAATCTCACGGGTCCTTGCCACCCACCAAAGTTCCCGGTCAACGCGAAGACTCATTGTCATACATGGTTTCAAGGGATTAAGGACATGTTGAAACGCAGTTCCCATTGGAACCTGTTTATGTGACTATATTAAGCTGACAGATGCCTCAGAGAGTTATCCACAGTTATGACACCTCAAGTTGAGTGCACAGCATGCGGCAAAACCATTATTCACAGCCCATTTGAGATGATCGCAGTCAATGTTCGGCTCATCGCTGACATTCGGTGGGCCAGTTCGTCATGAAATTGATGAAGTGCAGAAGCGGGAAGATCGAACGCTAAACGTGCGCGCATTAAGGCATGGTCGAAATCCAGACACGAGCGTCAAAGTGACCGACAGTCTCGGACTGATGTGCACCATTTGATGAAAATATGGTAAATTTGGGTCCAGGCCGCTAAGGAATTCGGTGGGTGCCAGGTGACGCTGTGTGAAGG